AGACCCGGGGCTGGTGTCTAGTCCACACACACGACAAGCAGAAAAAACCTCGGGTCTGTTCACTCACCTCAGTGAAGGTTTCAGCCCAGACGCGGGACCGTACTTTGAGGATCGCCGTGGTCCCCCGCTCCAGAAGTCCGACTTGGCACTGGAGCGTCCAGCACTCAACGTTAGAGCAGGACTGCAGGAAAACACGAGAAAAGAAAAAAAAAAAAATACTGCGTTACTTAAATACTAGACACAATTGTTCAGTGGTTGATCTTTCAGTGATTAATCATTATTAACAATTATCAGGTTTAAGATACACTGAGCAGAGCTGCCATATGATGAAAAAATGAATCACAATTTATCACGATTAAGTGAGACAGATAAACATTCCTTAATTTGACAAAAAACAACTTTTCTCTACTTTGAATTTGCCGTTCGTCGGAGCTGATGTTGAAGCCAACCGAACGTTGAGATGGTATCGTGACCTTGTGGTGCGTTGGTGAAACTACAACCGTGTCTCTGCAGCACCAGTCAACTGTGTGAATCAACTGTGTTTTAAACAATGAAAAATGTTGTTGTTGAAATATTTGGACCCAGAGTGCACGTGGAGAGTTAATAATGGTAATCTGATTAATTTCTTAAATCAATTACAGCAGTTAACCTGTAATAAGAACCTAGAACCAAGGCTGCGGCCTCTGCACGCTGCCACAGTGTCTGGCCTATTAGAGCGACATGCGGGAGAGAGAGAGTGTGTGTGTGTGTGTCTATTATTTCAGGTCGGACTCAGGAGGTCCGTTTAAGTCCTTTTTGGCTGTTTCCATTCCATCGTACCGACCCCTGGGCTCTCTCTCTCTCTCTCCCCCTCCCCCCTTCTCTCCTCCACCCTTTCATCCCTCCATCTCATCCCTCTCCTCTGGAGTTCAGAGTCTGTCCATCTGGATCACCTCCCCTCCCTCCCTCTGTCCCGTCCAGGCCTGGACACAGGGGTGAAGGCCAACACCAGTAGGGGGAGACACTGTGGGAGGCGCGGAGCGAGGCGTGTTGGCGGTATAATGAGAAAGTACATGAAAGCTGACGGAGGGGTGACGGAGCGGGCGGTGGTGGAGGAGGGAAAGATGAAGACGGAAGAGAAGAGTGACT